CCAAACATTCCAAAATATTGTTTCGTGTTTACACATTAGTATTTCGAAACCTAACTTCTTATAAACGAATTAAGATAAGTCTCTTTTTCGAACAGTGTATTTCTTGCTTGGTTAGGCTGACATTCAACAATATTACCCAGTTCGCCTCCGTACAGCAGGTGTTGTTTTGACTTGATTTAAACATATTTAATTTGCAAAAATACAAAAGGGATTAGAAACAAGTTATTAAACTTAAAGTTCGCCTTCTCCCTTAAAACAATAGTGATGAAATATACATATGGCTGCAAAGTCGAAAATATTAATGACTGTAAATTGAGATGATTCAACAGGAAACACGAATAAGTTATACGTACAATATACAAATCTTATAGATTACCCTTTGTTTTTGATGAACCTTTACATGTTTCATTAACCTGTGTATAATATAAACATTCGTTGTAACATTACTATAAATAATCTATAGTTTATATATTCATATTGAAACTTCTGTCAATGATACATATCATATAGTCACTATATAAAATTTAATAATTTAAAATTAGCTTTGAAATCAACCTGCATGTGTCAACACCGTAGCAGCCTGATGACGAAGCAGACCGCATCACACAATGGTCACATCCTTGAAGCTTTCTTTAAAACGCACCGACCATTAATGTCCGCTTTCAATAAATATAAATAGTTCCGAGCTGGCTAGGCTTCATGCTATTTAGGATGCGATCCACTGCGTCATCAAAGTACCACAATGCCAACCACGTACAGGTGATATATAAGTATATTTACTTTTGTTTTAACATATTTTTAACTAAACCTTTTTGAATTTTTAATGTTTTCCTGAACTGATGTGAATAGAAACAATTTGCATTGGCAGTAAACATGTTTGAACCATACAAAATTAAATCAGCAGTTAAAAAATCTAAATATTCTTGTGGGTATTTCTGGCCTCTACATACAATGGACATTCTAAAAAGCAATGCTCAACATTTTCTAAAGGATAAAACATATGCATTCAGGCGACTGAATTATATTTATACGTTTGAGGTCAGATCTCAAGGAACTGTTATTATACCTGAGTCTTGTATGCAAAGCATAACATTTTCGTTCACCTGTGGAATAAAAATCAGGAGCACATTCTCCTTTAAAAGATATTTTATTATTGAATGTAGAAAGCGTATTACATGTTCTGATTTGAATATCCAAGATTATTCGAAAGTCTTAATGTGCTAGGAATGAACGATTTCTCGGATAAGGTTAATCGACATCTTGGAATCACATAATTATTTTGATTTAGTAATTTGTCATTACTAACATTGTGTACTCTGTTTTGGCATTATAGGAAGGGGTAGGATTATTTTGTATTTTATATAATAATATTAACTTACGAGTTTTCCAACGATTGCTTTATGTTTCCTACCCAGTTTCGAAATACAAGCTTTGCCTACTTGCAAAAACAGGAAGACCAGTCACAGTTCTAGCCGCTTCTAATTGTAATTTTTCTAGTTTTTCCGAATCTGTACCATTCTATTTTCCCATAGCTCGCATACGTATTCCAAAAGAGGTCTTATAAAAACTGTTTACACTTTTGACAATGTTTTCTTATCTAAGATATATTTTAACTTACGTTATACTCATAGATGTTTTGATGCTGATTAAACAATATTGTCAACATTTACAGATCATTTACAATTTTCATTTAATGTTACACCTAGATGTCTGTGATAAGTGGAAGTTTGTAATGGTGTATTATTAAACATTAAATGTACATCTAACTTTTGTGAACAATGAAAAAGTACTACTTCAGTTTTGGTTGGATTAAAATTAGCATTCCATTTGTCTGACCAATCTTCAATAATTGCCAAATCATGGTTCAATACATGTTCTTTTTCTATTACAGTGCTCGATGAAAATGATAAAGACGTGTCATCGGCAAACATTCTTGCAAGTGAAAGTAAATTATCAGCAATATCATTTATAAAAACTAAAAATAGGAAATGTCCAAGGACCGACCCTTGTGGAACACCTGCATTTAAATGTCCAATTGAAGAAGTAGAGTTACATAATATGACCTGCTGCTTTCTATCTAGTAGATAATCCTTAATCCAGGAGAGAAATTACCCGTGATACCATAAGCATATAATTTAATTAATAAACCCCTGTGCCACGACCTGTCAAAAGCCTTAGATATATCAAAAAATGTCATACATGTTTGTTGCTTACTTTCCAGAGCAGAACAAATATTATGATTAATTTCTATTAATTGGTAAACGGTTAAATGTCCTTTAACGAAACCTGATTGAAATTTGTAAAGTAAATTATTCTCTAACATATAATTATGAAGGTATTTGTGTATGACTCACTCAAACAATTATCTTACAGAACTTACCAGTGACATCGGTCCATAGTTAGATGGAAAATGCGTTCATTTTTCTTAAATAGTGGTAGAACTGTAGCTGATTTTCATGCCGAGGTGAACTTGCATTCCCTTAATGATCTAGTGAATAAAATAAACAGGGGTTTGCAAACTGTCTCGGCAGTATTTTTAGGTCACCTGAGCTTTGCTCAAGTGACCTATTCTAATCGCTTTCCGTCCGTCGTCGTCCGTCGTACGTAAACTTTTTACATTTTCAACTTCTTCTCAAGAACCAATGGAGTGATTTTTTTCAAACTTGGTCAGAAACATCCTTGGTAGATGAGGCTACAAAATTGTAAAATTGGGATTCCTACCCCAACCCCTGGGGCCAGGGCGGGGCCCAAAAGGGAAAATTAACCAATATTTCCAAAATCTTCCTGTCCAGCCTCAGAGGTACTACAGTCATTTTCTCTGCATGGAAAGAAAATCATCAGGGGCTTTACTTAAATTGTAAATTTCAAGACCCCTGAGCTATCCGTTCTCCCTTGGGGAAGGGGTAAAGTTTACTATAGTTCATATAGGGAAATAACAATTTTGGGTATATTTTTATCCATTTTCAGCAGAAAATTACTCAAACTTAGTCAGAATCATCTTTGGTGATTGAGAATATTCTTTTGTAAAATTGGGATTCCTGCCCCAGTCCGAGGGGCTAGGGTGGGGCCCCAAAGGGAACATTTACCAATATTTTCAAATTCTTATCCTTTAATGACATGACAAGTATTGTATTTCACTTAATTTACATGCTGATTTCCACATCACATCTAAACAATAAAATAACGCTACCAGTACCTATAATATAACTCAGGTGGCCGCTAAGGCCCTTGGGCCTCTTGTTTAACATAGTATGACTTACAGTATCATTTCCAGTTGCCTTGTTTAACTTCAATGTTTTAAGAATATCATGAATATCAGATTTAGTAACTACAATGGTATGTAACGACGAATTACAACGGGATGGAAAACTGGGACTGTCCAGGTCTTAATCGATATTAGATATCGAACAAAAATACTAATTGAACACATTTGCTTTACTAATTTCGACATGCACTAACAAATTGCTGTCAGCGTCGTATAATGCTGGGACAGAATCAGTATCAGTTTGTTTACCAATCAGTCGGCGCATGAGTCGCCAATCGCCAGCAAGTGTTGTGTGATGAGGACGATATTTACGAACTTCTTGGGTGATAAGCTCTGAAAATAGCTATACGAGCGTTATCATTTAATGTAAAATGTCACCATTACTTACGTTTATAACAATAGGTTCGCTTTTCTTCACGGAACTATGTTTATTCTGTGTTTCATTTCTAATATATACAATATATCATTATCCTTATGAGAGAAATCTTATAAACAAATAAGATATCTCGAAGACATATTAGATATTTCATTACATATAAACAATATCTCGCACAATATATTTTTTTTCGTAATCTTAAAATACAGAATTCATATTTCTTCTTATGCACATCTTTTGCTTGCCATATAAAGTCATCATCGTCTTTTTGTGCATGAAACATTTTACAGTTCAAAACAAAGATTTCACATCCGGTTTTATTTTTTATTTTATAAAGATTGGTTCGGAACGGCGTGCTTGGCCTGAATTCATAAGTAAACATACGTTTTGCTCGCCTAAATTAAACAGCGTGTAACAAAAGTAAAAAAGATAACATAACAATGATACTTAGCTACGAATTTAGACTAAGTTGCAACACAATATTATTGTAAAGGTAATTTACCGAATAAATTAGATACTGACTTTGATCAACGTTTTCTGGTTTCGTCTCTGTATCTTCAGAAGTTTGCTCATGATCCTTTATTTTTTATTGGATACACGTGTCTTAGCTTAGGACCATTGTCAACCGGTATTTATGGTAGGAGACTCAATGACGGATACCAAATATGGTGCAGTAACTTGTAATGTACTTCTCCTATTTATTGGCGCATTAAGCCATTCCTGTCGTTTTAGTGGGGTTTTTTGGTTCCTTTGTGCAATATTTATAAGTAATAAAAATTAATATATCATATATCACAGCGTCATAACGTCAATAAGTCAAAGTCTAAACCGTAAGACATAAAATTATTTTAAGAGAGACCAAAACACGGACGCACCACTCCAACGTCTAAAACTTTAAGCAAAATTCACGTAAGTCAACATCAATTGTCAAAGTAGAAGAATATAAAAACTTTATTCATTTTGCGACAATTATGAAACACATTATTTCAACTTATATTAATCACTCTTGATGGCCCGGATCTTAGCGCGCGAGGGGTTTTATTGTGGTATGAAACCGGAATACCCAGAGAAAACCCACGCGGTCGGGCAGGTGACCCCATACTTTTTCACTTCCTATCGTGGAATCGAACCCCGGCCGCTTTGTTGAAAGGCAAATGTGCTATCCACTGCACCACCCGACCACCCATAGATGACGAGTGTAATGCAACAGTCTGTACTCATAAAATTACTTCACCCTACCTGCAGTAAGAGAAGCTTTTCAGTCGGGGTCCGTTCTCGGTAATTGATAATTTATCAAGGATATTTCCTAAATTTGTTTGTTTCCTTTATGAAATCAGAAAAGGAAATAGTCAGATAAAACTGATTGCTCTTATTTATTTTATTTACAACAAAAGTACAAATCACAATAGAATCAGAAATACGTTTCTGTTCATCCAATTACAGTACTCCCTTCTGTGCATATTTTCGGTTGCGTCCTGTAAGAAAAAAATAAGGTGAAAGTGTACCAAATGAAAACGTATCATGATGTATATCAGCAGATAACACAATAAGCTATGCACTGTAGTGTTATTGGTCTATATTTATACATTTCGGATACGGACTATAGCTTTAAGCATCAATGTGATAAAGACTATAAGAGAGTCTTGTTCTGGGATTCGGAAAAGATGGCTCCCAACAGCTTGTAATAAAGCAATGTCTGTACTCGTCTGCGAATAAACTCCAATGGATCGTTTACCGAGTTGTAACGTCGTTACAAAATGCTAACATACACGAAGGCTGTTAAGTCAGTATTAGCAAGTCTGAGGTACATAATGCTACAGGCAGCTGTCTATATTCATCCCAGTAGTTATAAAACGTAATTTAAAAAATGGTAATAACATTAATCTTCAAATGGCAACAATAACAAAATAAATATATATTCTTTTGAAGAGTTCAATAATCTAGCTCCATATTAGTCTCTCTCTGTGTCGACATCATTTTTTCAGAATTGTTTTTAACTGCAAATACTGACGGTCTGTATGTCAAAGTAATATTTCTTATTAATTGAAATGCGAATACTTTCAAGAGCAATAGTATTTGAACTATTCTAATTGCCACAATTATTTGATTCCTTTTAAAGGAACATTTGTTGTCCTTACTTTCGTTCGCAGACATAGTACAAGGGGGCTCTACATGATAAGTCGTACCACGTCCCAGAGTCATGCATAACGCTGATGCAGTCTTCGTTGGTCTGGCCGTTCGGTTCCTTGGGACCCCAGTTGAAGTAGGAAAGTGGAGACATCGAGGAGGCCCATACCCAAACACCGTCCGTAATCATATCAGTCGCATCGATCCAAAAGGGCGTATTGAAGGCACCTCAAACAAAGTACAGTTAAATGTAGATTAGGAGAAATATTCGACTACGTCTGTTTCGCACCATGCTATATCATATTAAAATAATATTTTATTACATAGAAAAATGTTGATGTTTTGGTCTGGAAATTGGTGTTTGAATGCCAATGAATTTCGAAATTTACTAAAAAATCTCATCAGCAATAAATATTAACATATTAACCATGAAAACGTCTATATGATTTCTTTAATTTAATTTACATAATTGGCAGTCATTTGAAACTTGATATCTATCACCAATTATCCACATAAGGGCAAAACCTATTAAATTGGGTAATGTACAAAATATCAAAATAAACCAACGTATTTTACTTTCAAAAGAACTGTTTCTATTGGTGTTTTTTCGCCCTTAGGTCCAGAACATAACATGGTTAGCTCCACAGTATACACTTACATCCAAAACGACGCATATACCTCACCAGAAAGTCATTTTCGACTTGGGAGTCCACAGCTACAATCTCGGACTGCAGACTTTGACAATATGCCTGAAGGAGGAGAAAGGCAGCAGTGGTAAGTCGTTGACTATACGCACAATATGATGTATATATATATTGATATTATTCGATATATATTATCAAACTTATTTATTCGTCCGTAATGATCATTTTTCTGATTTATAATATTATCAAACTGATACACACTTTATGTACAGGTGTTAAGTAAGTAAGTGCAGGCTAAGAACCATTAACTAGCTATAGAATATTAATTCCTACATCGATATATTCCCAATGTAAAAGGTCGACAGACACTTGTATATTAACAAGTACATCACAGATGGTTAGCAGCTATCTACGTGAGTTTAAGCATGTTTTATTGTATGCAGTGGCCAAGTGGTTAAGGCGTCTGACATTCTGCTCCCACTAGCCCTCCACCACTGGATCGTGAGTTCGAGACCTTCGTGGAGCAATCGCACGGTACTGGCCGTTTGTCGGTGGTTGTTCTCCGGGAACTCTGTCTTTTCTCCACCACCAAAACCTGGCACGTCCTTAAATGACCATAGCTATTAATAGGACGTTCCTTTGATGTACATTAAAAGAATATCGCAGTCGCGTAACGGTAAAAATTGATAAGGATTGAGTTCGGGTGTCGGATTTTGTAATCTTCAAAGGACAAGTAACAGCCTAGTGACTTCAATTTTGCTATGACATATTCCAGGGGTGCTGAAAGCGTAAGCGAGCGTAACCGCTGGAGTATCGAGGATGATGTCCTCCAAACAGCCAGGATCATACGAAGACGTGTGCTTAGGTGGATATCACCGAAACAGGGAAATTTTGAAAAGAAAAGATATATATCACACGTGTTTTAACAGAGACAGCAGACCAGATTGTGTCTCTTCAAGGCCACTTAACAAAAAAATCCCCTACGATGAAAGAATCTGCTATAAGGACGTACAGTGATACACGAGGCGACACCTGACTTGCAATGTAAACATAATGTTTACTTAGGGTGGTTTCGGCGTAGGAAAAATGTTTTGGTATAGCTCGGTGATGGTTCTTATCATACAATATCAGCTTTAAAGAAAACACTTTATAATCATACATAGTTAAGTTATAAATTAAGAATTAATAACATGATGGCTAATGTATTGTATTGTATGCCATAGATTGATGATTATATATTTTATTCATTGAATCATAATAATTAAGTGGTATACATTGAACACCACATATCCAATGCCAAACATTTAATAGAATTACATATATACTATATTTATCTACTACATGATGATAGGTATGTCTCTAAACGTAATACATTGTTTTACATCGAGTTAAAACTATGCAGTAAAGTATACATTAAGAAGGTTACTATAAACAATAAGTTAAAACCGTTGTAAATTAACAAAACAAAATCACAAAATTAGATACAATGAATATATATTACGATAAGTGTTATAAATAAAATAACTTCATCTTAACCGTTCCTGGAAATGGTATACAATTGTAACTGGTTTAGATATTAACTTTAACCTCGATGTAGTGCCCTTCCTTTCATTTGCCACCTCGATTACAATAAACATTGTTTAAAACACTTTTCACTATTTTACAATATTAAGATTTCACTATGTTCTAGTTTTCTGCTTTTAGCAATATTTTTATGCCCTTCTTATACGGTAATATATTAATTACAAAACGAAAATTAAATATTATATACATTTTACTGTGTGTGGTGTTCGTTGAATGGTACGTAAACCAATAAAGTGACAATGTCGCCATCTGTTTAGCGATTGTTTTCCATTATTTCGTGGGTTAGCAATAGTATGTACATTTAGAGGAATTATATATAAGTGTTAATTCACGTGGTGCTATACATAACTTACTGAAGAAGCGTGCCATGTTGTATGGTTATTAACGAAGTAGTAACAGGAATCCTGGAAAGATACCCACTCATCCGGACAGTCACCAAATCCACTTACGGTTCCTTCAGTATTTAAGGCCATTAAAACAATATATATATATATATATATAAATAACTTAAGCGGTATAAGTTGATATATCAATACGTTAGTTATTACGTATAAAATAAAAGTGATATGTTTAATGAAAAGATTTTTGTAACACAGGCAATAAATGATTCAATGTGACGTTTCGATGACTAGTCCGGTATGTACTCTGCCACCTTTATCAAACAAATGACCAGTGAAGCGTATGTACACAAAGGTGTAAAATGTGTACGAGTTGGCCACAAATCGATGTCGATTCGGCTACGCTGTAAGCGTATGTACAATTAATTGTCATATATGTTCTGAAATGACTCGATTCATCTACGCTTTGTTTGAGCGTAACTTAATCGACATCGATTTGTGGACAACTCGAACACATCTTACACTTTTGTGTACATACGCTTCACTAGTCATTTGTTTAAGTAAGGTGACAGAGTACATTCCGTACTAGTCATCGAAATGTCACATAGAAACACATTTTTTCATAATCCATACTTACCAATCTGAAGAAAATGTTTAGAAATAAACGTGATGTGTTGTTATAACCAATAGTCTCTCATTATTATATTGTTATAAATAAGTACTAAGATAGATATTTGGCTTCAAGGATTCCTGTTCCGCTGCTATGTTTCTTTTCGTTTATACAGTAACCTCCCCCCGTATATATGTAGGATATAGCAACAGCACAGTTGAGACAGGACACTTCCACTGACAAGGCATCCCACACGGTTAGAGCGCTAGTATAACAAAAGCGATAGTCTTACCGAAAAAAACACAATGTTTCAAATTCTTATTTACAAATTTTGGCACTGGTACAGGGGTCCTTTAATAATAAAAATTACCGTAAATGACTTCGTAAATGTATCTTTTAGCATTAATAACAAATTAATAGTATATATTGATGAATCTCTTATCATTAATAAAGTACTTACATATGTTGGTACTTCTTGTCGATTAAAATTTATATATTATTAAATCATCCATTAATTTTCATAAATAGTAGCATACAAATCCAATCTACATCTATATACAATCAGTATTTATACAATGATTATTAAACGGCTGAATAACAGTTGATGTTTCTTGAAAATAATTTTAACTCGTCGTTTCTTGACATCTCTGATAACAGTATTGTTCATTCATTGTAAATAAAGTGTAAAATGGAAAATAACAATGATATACATACCAAACGCAACTACCAGACAAATACTGGAAGCTAAACTGAACACAGTCATTTTTTCTCGTTCTAAAGATAAGACGCTTTGTTATTGTAGCGTGGAAAGGTTCCTTATCAACGGATTTCGGCTCGTTCTAAAGATAGGACACTCTTATCAACGTCACCAATAACCTACTTTCTGTATTTAAGACTTTATCAATCGGTCAAAGATTAGATCGACATATATCACTTATCTATCTATCAAGAGTATTATTATGGTTACTATTAGGCCTTATATACACTTCAACAATCCACGTTACATAAATCCGTTTTGCAAATAAGTACGGATTCACCAGCACAAACATAATGATAACACTTTGTAACCTTATTTTGATGACGGAAAAACACTTCTTGTATGTAATGATAATTTGTAAAAAATATCGGTTTTGATGAAATATCAAAGGTCAACAAATTACGTGTAAATAAGATATAATATTCAGATGTAAATGCATTGTATGGACCTGATCATGAATTTTCGCCAAAAAAGTTTTGCATGTCAGATTGTTTACTGTTTTTTACTGTACTATTTTGAAGACATCGGCTTATTTTTAATGATATTTATATATAAACAGTCCAACGCAAACTAACAAACAGAAGCATCTAGTATACGTACATGATATAAAGTAAATACAATTTAGATAAAGTGTTAACAGTGAGCTGGGTTTCGGAATTCCTTTACATACCCGAGTTAAGAATTAAGTCACTAAAGGATGTATGACTAGCCACGACTTTGTGGTAAAAAAATCTGAATTACTGTTTAGAGCTCCAACCTACAGGTTTTAGTATTGTGGAAATTGGTACAGTTTTTGCTGCAGTTGATGTGGATGATGAGCAAAAGCTGTAAGCTTTAAAAGTGTTTGTATCAATACCTGAAAATTTTAACATTGTCTAAATCCATCCGCTGATGGTATCCTTTGGAATACCCAGGAACAGTTCCGTGTAACTTATAAAAGAGATTATTTTCATCACCCCTTAATGTCTTTGTTTTCTCTATATAAGTTGCAAGGTAAGTCACAACACATATGTTTTGTTAGCAGAGTACCTCTCTAACACACCACTGCAGGTTGGGGATGTGGAAAAGAATACACCTGGTGCACCCAATGCAATATTTTGGATCTTTATCTTTCTTTCTACTTCTAACTTCCTTTAATTCATCGCGCCTTGCTTGACAACACCTCATGTTTGGCCTTAATGTTGAGCTTTTGCCCAGGTGAGGAAGGCAATGTGCCTGCGGTATGGTATTTCAGTTAGATATCACTATAAAGTCGGCATCAGATCCGCGCTATTACAAGGAGGCAAGAACACCAACATACTCTGTCTCCTGCATACACACACGCAAGCACGCATACACTTCACACATTGAGGCATGTCCTTAAATGACCTTAGCTGTTAATATAGCGTTAAACAAAACTCCAACGAACCAAACCTCTAACACTATTTCAGGTAAATGTACTCCTGGCCTTGTTTGCTTCAAAAGAACCACAATACGTCTACAGCCACACTATTGGGACTCCTCACCGGTCAACGTGTACAAACTTTGCATCTTCTTCATATTGACAACATCCAGTTTACAGACATTTTTGTCAATATGGAGAAGATGCAAAGTTTATACACGTTGACCGTTGAGCAGAACTTATATTATGGCTGTAGACATCGTTGAAGTTTTCAGGTCTTTGTCCATTGGGTCACCTTGTGCTTTCAGGTAAGCTAGCACAATCTGCACATCCCATGTAGAGTTATATCGTGGTAACTTTGGTATAATGTTAAAAACTCCCAGCGAGGATTCATCCCTGATTTAGTTAAAATTTTCATAAAATTCAAGCTAGAATGTCTTTTTCCGGGATATTGTTATTAGTCCAGTGCAAATACCGAAGCATGCACGGAAAAGATTTATTGAATAATTCATGTCCGACTGGTACTTGTACAAATGGAGAGAGAAACTAAATACGAAAAATACCCTTCAGAGATACTCTCGTATTCATACAACAAAGAGTCCTAACCCATTGCTGCTTTTGTGTTTAAAATTAGGACAATTCACATGGGACCTTGTTTATCTACTGAAGCTATCAATTACTTGGGAAGATAATGAGGTGTCTGTAAACTGTGCGCAAAGAAAAGTAATGATGTTGTAACTCATTTTATTATTGAATGCCCAGCACTATATGAAAGTGTTGACTGTATCAAAGTGTGCTCATATGTTCAGTTTTCGTTCTTGGAAGAGACTGATCAGGCCAATTTTCTTCTTGGAGATCGATCTTAAGTGACTTTACAGGATGACGAATGGGAAGAACCAATGATAACAGTTGCCAAAAACATCAAGATGCTTTGAAAATCATGAACTCTGCTCTATACATTTTCTCATCATATTCTCATCAAATGTTGTGAATGTTGAAATTTGTTTAAATGTTTATAATCTCTTATGAAAGAGGAAATAAAGAATATCTGTTTCTCTGCCATAGCAGACCTGGAATAATTTAACGCACTATTTACACGACGAATATTGTCAATGAAGCAAAAGTCGCTTACCCTTCCGAAACACCATGTCTTATTATTATTCTTGTACGTTTTCAATGATACTCATGTAAATATTCCCTTTGCTCATATTTTGCTAAAGTTTTATCAATTCTGAGTGAGTTAAGACTACGGTTTAATTGACCATTCGGTATTCACTTGTTTTACTTAATTTAATATTTGGTTACTATGTCTTACGTTTGGCATAGCTTAGCAATTTGATGCAAAATGTTTGCCTCGTGCATCATTGATGAGAGCTGGAAGGACGAAACAACTATCAGATGCAGTGTAATTAATTATTCGTTTTTGTTTTGTTGTTATCGTTATAATATTTTCTATTCCATTTTATTTTGTTGTCTTTCTCCATCATCGTTGAGTTCTTGTTTTGTCCTCGGGTATTAAAGTGAAGTATTTTTCTCAAAATATACATGTTAGAATAAGTGATATACATCAATTATTATTATTACTTAGTTAAGGACCCATATTAACGGCAAAGGTCGTAAGGACAATTTATGATCTGTGAATAGCGTGTTAATGACATTAACATTAACAACACAGAAATATGAAAATCAATTGACAACCTGATAACCAAGAGCTGATATGGTTATTTAAATCTATTTAAATATAGCAAATGGTTGTCAAAAAATGCTGAGAGCATTATAGCTTAATGCTTTATTTTTTAATGTTTTATCCAATTAGAGTGGGACCTTCGGTTGGCAAACAGTTCTTCTGTATGTTGCTGAAAAATTAAAACAGTGGAGATTAATTAACCATATATATTTTACGATAACCAAGGTTGATATTTTTCAATCTGAAAGGTTCATGTTTAATGTAATTACCATGACTATTCTAGTAGGACTAATAAAATATACCAGAGATAAATTTTCAATCTTAACCTTTTCATTTGTATATTTTTCAAACAATTTCTACATTACAATAAAAACATAGTTTAATAAATATCTATACTAGTTTTAAAATATTTCACACTTCTGCATCTTCAACTGTAATGTTGTTTACAGCAAATCAATAACAAGTGACAGAGGGTTATAGGCATTCACATATCTAGAATGTTCTTGGTTAATAGTAAATGATCGTTATATGATAATTTTTTTTTTATATATTATCATTCCTCATTTTTATAACATCTTGTCTAATTGGACGATACTGGTCACATGACGGGACAATAAAACATATTGGCGACTTCACGCGCTCAAGTTTCACCGATCACATTTCCTTTATTCTGAGTCACTCAAGATAAATCGGCAAGAGGCACTAAAACCTAGTTCCGAATGACGGAAGAAGAAAACAACAATGGCGCGTCATCCTGATCATCTCTACTATTGTGTTTTTGTTTTTGATTTATTTTCATTTATTTATTGATTTCGGGATATCAAAAAAAAATGTTTTGTCCTGGCAATAGGGAAACAATTGTTTTTGAAACATGATATACTTCGGAGAAACATAATCGTGTTTCCCTACTGTAAATGTAATAGATGTATAATGTATACAGGGAAACTCCCAGGGATCCGTAACATAAACGTTAAAACATAGAACAAAATTTCTAACGTCCTCATTGTTGTTACTGGTGATCTGCTATATTTATCTATCAAACTCTATATAAACATACCTGATTCTCTGCTGCTATATTTATATATCAATCTCTATATAAACATACCTGATTTTTCTGCTGTATTTATCTATTAATCTCTATATAAACACACCTGATTTCTCTGCTGTATTTATCTATTAATCTCTATATAAACACACTTAATTTTTCTACTGCTATATTCATTTATCAATCTCGATGTAAATCTACCTGATTTCCCTGCTGCTATATTTATATATCAATCTGTACATAAACATACCTGATTTCTCCGCTGCTATATTTATCTATCAATCTCTATATAAAAATACCTGATTTCCCTGCTGCTATATTTATATATCAATCTCTATATAAACATACCTGATTTTTCTGCTGCTATATTTATATATCAAACTCCATATAAACATACCTGATTTTTCTGCTGTATTTATCTATCAAACTCCATATAAACATACCCGATTCTCTGCTGCTATATTTATCTATCAAACTCTATATAAACATACCTGATTCTCTGCTGCTGTATTTATCTATCAATCTCTATATAAACATACCTGATTTCTCTGCTGTATTTATCTATTAATCTCTATATAAACACACCTAATTTCTCTGCTGTATTTATCTATTAATCTGTATTTAAACATACCTGATTCCTCTGCTTTTTCATCTATTAATCTCTATAAAAAAACACCTGAATTCTCTGCTTTTTATCTATTAATCTCTATATAAACACACCTAATTTCTCTGCTGTATTTTTCTATTCATCTCTATATAAACACACTTGATTTTTCTACTGCTATATTCATCTATCAATCTCGATGTAAACCTACCTGCTTTCACAGACGAATCCTTGCTCAGAGTGACAGTCTCTTGACTGCCAGGTCCGATCAAGTCTCAATATGAAGCAGTCGCCGATAGTGGCGTTAGGTTCATTTTTACCCCAATTGTTGTAGGTGACCGGGTCCTGTGATGTGGCCCATTTATAGCTACCATCGGACGACCCCTCTGACGTTCCCTCAGTCCAAAACGAAACCGAACGAAACGCCCCTGTATATATTCAATATAATCAGTTAAAACACATGTTTATTACGATGTGCATATACTTTTTCAGGATAATAAGTTAAAACAACGAAAACAGTTTAATAATTAAAATACATACAATTTGATATCTAAGTATGTTTCCTAAATAATGTTGGATTTCTTCTGCTAAGAGGACACTGAAGAAACCAGCATTGATTTACTGCCCTCAATGCACGATAAAGGATCTAAATTGTTCCTTTTCTGACTTCCCTACTCTAACGTTTTAGTTTAAACCATATTTTATTTCATTTTGTTTATGTCATACATACAATACATAAGTACAGGATTCAGAAGAGAGAGAGAGAGAGAGAGAGAGAGAGAGAGAGAGAGAGAGAGAGAGAGAGAGAGAGACTGCACTGAAGTTGCTACATACAATCGCATACTATGAGTTAAGTGAACCCAACATAGGTAAAATAAATGTTCACGCCAGTGAGTCATATTTGCGAAACAAAATAATAAATGATGATCCTTTGTCATCAATGTAATAATGCTTGTTCGAATGTCATGAATATGAAATAGATATCATCAAATATTAGACTGACCTCTGAAGTGTGTTAAAGTTCCCGCCAAAAAGTCATTTTCGTCGTTCGAGTCTATGGTCACTCTCCTGCTGTGAATGGCCTCGCACATGAACTGTTTGATATTTGAAAATAGGCATACAGTATCATTTCAACATTTTTCAGACACTTCGAAATAAAGTGACTGACATACTTTAGTTGCATACCAGTTATCTAGTGATGCTGACAACATGTGTATAAATAATGCAGGAGGATGAGGCAGTCGTATAAAACTTCATAATTATTAAAAAAAATAGCGATTTTGAACTCTAGATCTTACGGGTCGTGAAACCTGCCACGTTATTCTAGGTTAAATTCAATTAATGTCAAGTCCTAAAGTGAGAACTGGGGTAGTGGTTACGAAACAACAAGCATTTGATCACAATGATTTAATAATATCCAGCTAAATTATCGCAACGCACCCAATGAATATGCAATGAAATTGAAAAGAACAGTTTTTGAAAACATTCATTTTTCTTTAAAAGTTTTTTTTACAAGATGTGACGTGTGTTAGGGTTATTTCTTTTAATAAATACTCATATCAAATTAAACAAATTAATGTATACATTCTGGCGTACACTGTATATGTTGTATAAATCATTCAAATATGTATTTCTGGTATGGAAATCTTTAAGACCAGGAGGTGACAAACAAAGTAAGGTAGCATACATCATTAACTATAAAACTTACCCCTGCGTCGTACCAGTTTCTATTATGGTTACTGAAAAAGTAACAGGAGTCACGATGACTAATCCAACCACTTGGGCAATCACCGGCTACCAATCCTGTAAATGAAAGATACATTTTAAGTCGATTATCACATTCATAAATGAAAAACTTTATTTATTTTAAATCAATTATGAAACACGTTATTACAACATATATTAATCACTCTTGTTGGCCCTGAAGCTGGCGCGCTGGGGATCTTAATGCTCTCACTTCTTTTAAAAAGAATATTTCTTTATTTATGCTATTGTCAAAGCTGTTGAGCTTCGCCTCACGACTACTTCAATCTACGCTGACAACAGTACAGGGTTTATTTTACTCCCAGAGTTTGTTTTGTCTGCAATGATTGATATTATCGTGTCTTAGATCATTGGTTATCAAATTCCTTAGTTTGACAGGATTACATGGCGTGGGTGACGTGTGGTGACAGAAACGCCTATAATGTTTAGACATCTTCATTATGGAGAGGAGTTCAAGATGCAGTTTGGTGTATGGTGTTGCTTCTCGGAAGTTCTTGCTATTGTCTTCGTCCTTCGATTTTTGTTTCTTTTGTCCTTACGTATTGACGCATTTACGTAAGTTCTTTTAGTATACTGTTGATGTGGTTTTCCTTTTTTAAGTAGATTTACAAAGGTCTGCGATAAACAAATATTTGCACCATATGATTGACAAACAATTAGCCGTTAAACGAGGTCATAGTTGATTTTAAGAAAACTGTTATTCACAGCATCATCTTCTCACCTGTTAACTGAGAAAAGAGCATATATAACAACAAGACAATGGCCACGAGACCCGTGTGTTACGCGGCTGCAGTGCTGAATTAGCTCGACTTACCCGCCAGTATGGGCCCTTTCGTGTGTAACGTCGCATCCTTAAACGGAAATTCCGTATTTTGTACCGTCAGATATTAATAATATTCATTGTAATGCCATTTAAAACCTCGGATCTAGAAATATGTTTATAAACTTACTCTTTATAAAACACTTCAATTTCATTCTACTTGAAAAATATTCACGGCATTTACTACATTGGAATAAACAGGGTTTAACTACTATGATTATATAGGGAATATGCCGGGACCACAAATCACAGCCGGTTTAGACAGGGATCCGGATTAGACCAGGGCCGGTTTAGACAGGTTATACTGTATTTCATCGCGGGGACTTGTTCACAGAGCTGATGATAAAACAGATGCACACATCACCTTGGCGACCCTGCAGTGCCGACGTGACATTAAACTTCGATATATGACGTACATCGCAGAAAAATTAAACGGACTAATTCTCATAATTCACAGGACATAATTATAATAAAATGAAGGAAGCACAATTTTCCCAGTAACTGCTTTAGCTTATTATTGCACCAGATGTATTTATCTGTAGTTCATTCGGAAACATCGGTTACAAAATCTATTTTTGATTTAAAAAAAACAACTTCAGATGGTATTCGAGATATTTCGTTCAGGTATATATGATAGTTTCACTGATGTTAAAACAATTAAAACGTTTAAACGGTGAAAATGTGTCAATTACATATGAAAACAGTCAACGAACAGGCTAAACTATTTCCCTTTCCCTTCATTATCCATGTTATTTATTGAAGTGCGAAGACTATCTTCAATGCATAGCATGTCATGAACCGTTTAGGTAAAACATTTGTTTTTGGATAAACCTTCACTCAACACAAAATCCTAAAATTCTAAAATAATATCTTAATTTAGTTGTCTTTTATATCACTGCAGGGCATTGTTAAAGGGCTGTTAAGAATGTAATAAAAAAACACTTTCCCGTGTCGATTTCTAAAATTTTAAACTTACAACTTTCGGCTACAAATGATCATTTAAACTTAAACTAGTATTTCATTTATAATCATATCATCATAATCAAATATGTGTAAAATGAGCGAAAAAGAGAAAGGCGCTAAAAACATTTTATAACGTTACAAATTCACAGATTTAGGCCCAAAACATATAATTTTGAAACTAGTATTTCATGCATAATCATATCATCATAATCAAAAGTATGTTCAATCAAATAAAAAGGGAAAAGTACTTAAACCTTAAACTTTTTTTTATAATCTGGTGTTGGACATATTTGCATTGTTTTTGACCTTGGGTTTTACTATAACCGTGATAGGATCCAAAATGAAAACAAAAGATCATGCAATATATGAATCAATGAATGCTAGGGGAAATCATATGTATGCTGAATCCCACTGCAAATTTGAACATGCGACCTATATAGGCCCCGCTACATACAAATGCAATCGGAGGTTGTCTTCGCTATATTCTGCGTAAGAATAGTTCTGCATTGAAGAAACCAAACTCGATCGGCTGTAACTCTTGGGATCTATAGTATTTTTTTTTATCATATCTTTTGTGCCGCAGGGATTACCTAAACATCCGTTTACACACGAACTAATATGTTTAGAGGGCTTTGAATCGCAAACTAAAAATGTAAAATATGTTAGCACACCAATTTTAATTGTTACTATTTTAAATATGAGAAGTTAAACATTTTTAATGTTGTATCTTGTAATTTGTAACAGTAATATAATTTATTTTTTCGGATGAATGTACAAATATGTTTTTAAATGTTTTTATTGTCTTTCTGCATCTTAAACATAATATACATTTGCCATAACAAGTTCCATTGTTTTGCTTCTTCATTTTCTACATGATTCGTACACATGAAGTTTTGCTCTGGTTATGTAAATTCTTACTTCCATTGTTTATATTCATACAAGCGCCAATGTGACTTGTGTAATGTTTATCTTATTGGGTGTGTTTTTTGTAGTGTTAAATTTAAAAAAAGAAAAATATCTTTCTGCATCTGATACATAATAAACATTTGCCATAACTTTATGCATACATTGTATTTAAATACAAGTTCCATTGTTTTGCTTCTTCATTTTCTACATGATTCGTACACATGTAGTTTTGCTCTTGTTATGTACATACAAACACCACAGTGACTTGTATCATATGTAGAACGTGTCCTTATCTACGGAGCCAGGTCTACGGGTGCTTATTATCTAAGCATCAAGTATTTAGGTCAGTCTTCTGCAAAACAAAATTAATAGTACAATAATATGTTCATTATTTCTTATATATTTTATACCACATCATAACATAATGTATTTATGAATAACTGACTAAAAACAAATGTTCCTATAGGGAACGCAATAATACTAACAAACTAAAAAGTCACTCTTTTTCCAAGCTTTCGGGCTTAGCCCTTCGTCAGGGATTAAATGTCACCACTATCTTGACAAACAGGATGAGTAACTATGACAAAATGAATATCGAAGGCTTGGAAAAAGAGTGATTTTTTAGTTTGTTAGTATTTATGAATAGTCAATATACTAGCCTTTTAATCAAAATCATCGAATACGAAACATCAAATCTCTTGATCTGCTACAATTTAATATATCTTAGCTTAAACTGATTTCTTGGTTCAACTAGCGATTTGATCAAACTCCAGGCCATTAACCAATACTGTAGTTATGATGTATTATATCTATCATAACCTGCTTATCACGTATTTATCTCCCTCTAGTACAGTACAGTTCGGGCAAAGGCACCATTTATACAGGAAATGGAAGTTATGAAATTTTATTATCGCAGCAGATGATGTTGTTTATAACATGTATTTCAAAACTCAAACATGATAAAGTGTAAGAAAATGGAAAAACATACCTGTAACCACCCACACAAGTATCAGGAGCCGAGACCATCTATCCATGGTTGTGTGAAGATAGCAGACAGGACAAACGTGTGTAGATAAGAATTAAACAGGGGCGAAGGACTGGGGGCAGCCGTAGGTAGTTTAGTAAAAGAACGATTGACCTTATTCATATTGAACAATCATGCCAGTTATATTGCCGAAATATTCATCTTCAGCGGTGGATTGATAATTTTGTAAAAACACTCATACGATGTTATTCATGTCAATTTCATTGGCAAACGAAGCAGACAACATTGATTAGTTCAATTTAGCCCAGCTTGAGTAGCAACTGAAAAATAAGTCAATTATGGGAAAAGTAAACGAAGGCATTTGTGGCTTCATGAAATTGACTCGCCTTACCATTGAGCTTACACTAGTAAAAGACATCCTTTACAAACGTTTTCAATATGACAATTTGTATGCAACAGCGTAACTTTTGTTTAGTATTGCAAAATGTTTTGTTTCTGTGAATTTGAGCATTGGGACTTTCAATAACAGTCATCGACTACCTTAATTGTGTAGAATCATTTAATCATTTATTTTACTTGGCTCAAGATAAGGTATCTTGTTTCACTCTGTCACCATCAATATATCTGTCCAATATCGTCACCTTCCTTAGCTGAAATTAAAACTATTAAGTTTTGTGCACAGGTATTCTGTTGCAAAACTCCTTTAAAATTACCTTCCGGATTACCTTTATATTTATTATTGGAATTGAGTAATTCGTCCAGTATATCATAAACTTACCTCCGAGGGAGAATATCTGTCATCACTAACTAATCCAGGCACTGCCCCCGTCCCTCCTTCAAATCGGTAGTCATAGCTCCCATCCAGCTCAACTTTACCAGGCATTCCCTTATTTTCGAGAACCCTTCCTGTGGTCAACTCAGAGGGAGTTTCTATTAGGTCGTAGCTGTTTCCCGACATAAAACTATTCGTTTTTTTCTTAGTGGTATGTTGTTGGAATCGTGTTCAGCAGAAATAAATAACACGTTACCTACAAACTCGCAAGGTCAATGTCACATTTGCTCGCCTCCTTTAGAACACCTGCATCCTCTGTTAAGGCCCATTAAATTCAAATGTTTATTCTGAGGATGGTCCATCATCCCTAATAGATCATATTATAATCAACTAATCTAAATAAGACCTCCTGAGTGAATGTTCCATTTTGGATTGCGAGTATCTTGACGTGTCAAACCATAGACCGTTGGTATATACATTGTATGTTAACTGGTTTTCCTTGATTCGGCTATTGCGATAAACACACATGCATTTCGTTTTAGTGGATCGCCACAGGAGCCTCGACAAATGTTGACAACTACCGAGACGATCTTGTTTCACGTATCAACGGTTCGTCTCTGGATAGCTTACTGAATCCTGATACTATAGATGAAGTTGATTAATGCACACGTAAGCTTGTGTGTTTATTAAAATCATACCTTGCCCAAGCGGAAATTTTGACAAATTTCTAAAAACCTGTTGGCGCGAACAAACTGAAAGATCCCCATCGGAACATGTGGTGATGCCGTCAGCTTTGGGTCTCTCAAGGTCTACCGCGTGCCACAGATTCAGTCACATTTCGAAACTACAAGCATGCTAAACGCTTTTTTAGGAACACATATAGACAGGTGTCAATGTAGACTTAAACAACGAAATTGAAAGCTGAGTTGATGTAAATAAAAAAGCGTTCTGGTATTTTGTTAGAAAACGTTGTACTAACACTTTGGAGTTTTTGGCGCTGAAATGAAATTTGATGGTGCAGTTATCAGAGACCCTGCTCGCCTAGCTCTCCACTCGGAAAATATTTTGCAGATATGTGTAATTATAATTAAAATAAGATTCATATAATGATCCTAATATGTTTATGTTTATGACCGTAGCGACTAAACAACGACTGATCTGAGTACATCTTGACTAAATTAGATGATCTAACAACGCGGGCTTTCTGTACAAGGTTTGCTTGCCGAAATATACACAATTGAAGTTCCAATCTAATCCGCCTTGCAACTTCCAGTCGCCATTTTGTAAACAGGACCTAATCTCGAGCTAATGCGCGTTTGAAAGAGTTTGAAGTATTGCAAAGCTTCTAAACGATCATGCCCAGAACATACTCTCTAAGGATGATGTTTTTGATAAATTTAATATCAATTGTTTACTATATTTCTTTTCTGTATCACTTTCATTAATTCATAAAAAAAACAAATTGATATTTTCCCCTTCAAACATTTTTCATTCAAATGTTAAAACATTTTTTGGAAAAAATGTTTGGCCTTGGGGGCTATATCATACTACACATATATAAGCTATGGAAATCTCACGGATTACTGACGTTATCCTTTAGGAGTGAACTGTCACCCCTTGTCCCAGGATTACTGCCAATATATCCCCCCAGGAGCGAAACGGTCGCCCCTGGTCCCAACGGCTGGATGAGATTTCCCATTATCAAAAAACGGACCGTAATGAGAGGATATTTCTGACAATCCTGGATCCAGACATGATGAGTAGCTGATCATATACCTGGATCCCATGAGAGGATATCGGATCAGGAAATTCCTGGGTCCGCATGATAGTTTCTTAAAACAGTGCGGGGTGACGCTGACCTTTGTTGGTCATCTCATTAATTATGCGTGGCTAACCACTTGACCAATGGTAATTAACCTTGACCTGCCTAGTGATAGCTTAAGCCAATCAGCATCATCACTAATCTAATTATTACCATATTATCACGTGTAAGAAGAGTGTAGGAGACTGTTGAGCTATGCTCTTTGTTCTGTATCTATAAATATAACCTGCCAGCATTACGTATACCTAAATTTGGTACACATGCTGGTATTAAGATAATATATGATATTTATCCACATGTATCTCTAACACACCTTAATACTTAAAAATCAACAATGTTGCACATGACATATAAACAAATGGCTGTTTACAAACAAAGTTTATTATAAATAATAAACTACAATATATAAACAACCAGAACAATATGATACAGTTTAATAAATGCTATTTATTAACTGTAGAGGTATGCAATGTTATCATGACCAACATTGTTGTATGTCTTGTAAATCAGCATACACATGTTTATACATATAACAGAAGAAATAAACAATACACAAATATATACATTTCATGATGATCTACATTTAGGTTTGGCCTTGGGGGCTATATCATACTACACATATATAAGCTATGGAAATCTCACGGATTACTGACGTTATCCACTAGGAGTGAACTGTCACCCCTTGTCCCAGGATTACTGCCAATATATCCCCCCAGGAGCGAAACGGTCGCCCCTGGTCCCAACGGCTGGATGAGATTTCCCATTATCAAAAAACGGACCCTAATGAGAGGATATTTCTGACAATCCTGGATCCAGACATGATGAGTAGCTGATCATATACCTGGATCCCATGAGAGGATATCGGATCAGGAAATTCCTGGGTCCGCATGATATCTAGATCTAATTTTCTGGATATAGATCCCATGAGAGGATATTTCCTGAATCCTGGATTGGACACATGGGCCCCGTTAGCCCATGTTGTTGTACCAATCCCATGAGAGGATTCATCATTGTTGGAAAATCCTGGATCTATAGAATACCTATAATTATAACTTATAGGCACCTTATTATTAATTTCTGGATATAGATCCCGTGAGAGGATATTTCCTGAATCCTGGATCGGACACATGGCCCCGTTAGCCCATGTTGTACCAATCCCATGAGAGGATTCATCATTGTTGGAAAATCCTGGATCTATAGGATACCTAATTATAACTTATAGGCACCTTATTATGTAGGTATAACTGTATATTAACATGGGGGCTGAATACAACAACATATGTGTTGTGTACCTCCCAAATTGAAGCTGTATACCTCTCCTATTGCGATATGTGTGCAGCTGAAAAGCCCCCAAGTTGTATATATATAAATGTTTCTTATAAAAAATATATAATACATGGTATTTCTTGTTGCATTTACTATTATGTCATAAATTGTAATACTATCTTATATAGTAACTGTATATATGTTAAACACATGGTAATGCATATTTTAGAACTTCTACAAGATGACCATATATTATCCAATGTCCAGACGTGTATACGAATATATATCCACTTATGTTATATATAAAGTCACAATTAGTACATTTCCTTATTTATTTCTTCCACAATCTAGAGTGACTTGGTTTTAAATATATCCATGTCCACAGTTCCAATTGTATTTAGGTATACACACACTTGGTGTCCAAGTCACTGTTTATGTCTACATGTATGTCGTTCCACAGTTAAGGTGACCCTATATATAATATAAATCCAATGTCCACATGCACTCATGCATGTTATACAGTAATTACACACAATTGGCGTTATAACAAACAGTCATAGTTCATGTATTTGTCATGCTTATCTGAGCCTCCTTGATTGTGTTATGAGATGTCCTTATGTATCTTTGGTAACAGTCTGAAGACCACCTACCTAATGTTTTGATAAGGTGGTCTTCCACTTTAGCTCCAGCTGCAGCGGTTGCAGCCCCAATACAGAAGGAATGTCTGCTGTATTGGGAAGTATCTAGTCCAATATTCTCCAAGTTAGTTTTAAGAACTTTGATAACGCTGTGCCGTCCCTGGTTACGAATAGGGGTACCGGTGATGTAGGGGTCACATGATACATGTTCTTTCAGGTAGTAATATATTGCACATAGCTTGATGTGGACACACTGATGACCCGTTGGCAAAATAAGAATGTGTGCAACTTTTCTACCGGAAGATTTAAGACACAGCTTGAGTAGTTCATCTACACAAATAAACACTATAGGACCAAAGATGTTTTGGTTAATGTCGAACTCGCCACACCTCAGTAATCCATAAAATGCTACACAGCACACTGCACGATACATCAGTATATCGTGATAGCTGTACTGTACATCAGCAAGTGCCTTGTTCAATTGTTGCAAATCTTAAATGCGATAGGTAAATGTTCTCTTGTTCCAAGTTTTTCTTTTTCTTTACCACATTGAGAACAAATTGAGTCGAGGAAAACTGTTCCCTTCCTTATTCT